CCCCCCAGCCACAGCCTCTGCTCCCGAGAGAAGGCCCAGCCGGGCACGAAACGCCCCCTGGGCCCTGCCAGCCAGCACGCCCCGGCCCACAGGGCACAACCCGGCCTGTGCCTGGCCAGGAATCGAACCGTGACCTCCTGGTTCAGAGGTCAGCGCTCAGCCCCTGAGCCCCGCCGGCCGGGCTCCATACATTTGAAAGTCCTCCCTCTCCGTACGGAATAACCTGGAGATTCTGCATCTCTCACTCTGAGCCACCCTTCCTCCAGGCTCAGCTGGGATCCTCGTCTCCCTCCCCCGAGTCTCCCCAGGAGCCGACATCACGCCTCCCTGCAGGGCTGCAGGGCCGCGCCTCTGACCAGGAGTCCCCGTGAGCTGGGCCTGCGCTTCACCCGGCGTCCACCATATGCTTGAATAAGCAGTATCTTAACTTCAGTCCAGGGAAGGCTGTCCACTGCACCCCAGGGCGCGAGGGCGAGACTCACTGCACACAGCCCGGGGAGGGCGGCCGAGTCCTCGAGGACGGAGGACAGCAGGTCGCCGCCCTTCCGGCGGGACAGTCTGTGCACCAGGCCCCGTCCCGGCTCACGCAACCCTGCTCGCGCCCAGCAACTGCGCTTACGCACTGTCGGCCGCAGTCTGAGTTTATAGACCATACAGCGTGTAGGAAACAGACTCTCACCTTTCGACCCTTCGCTGCTACACTCGCTTCCTGTGGAGCACAGCGCGAACGGGGCTGCCCCTCGGAATCGCACGCGGCCGCGCTCACGGCAGCAAACACCCAAACGACCCGTGACGGTGGCACCAGCTTGTTCCGTTCCCACCCGTTCCCGTGAGCTCCCGGCGCCCCGCAAAACGAATAATTAAAAACAGCGCGAGACCCCCGACGTGGAGAGCGCGTCATACCTTATACCCTCCGATGCGGTGCTCCTGCCTGAACTCCTTCCCGTTCTTCAGCCACCGCATGGTGGGCGTGGGGTTCCCGCCGGCCGGGCAGCGGAACTTGACCGTGTTGGCGGCGGGCACGGCGTGCAGCCGCTTCTCCATCTTCTCGGTGCTGGTCCAGTAGGGCGCTCCTGTGGGAACACACGGGGCAGTGTGGGCGGCAGCCTCTCCCCTCCGCTGCCCTCGTGGGCGCGGTCATTGCCATGTGCGCGGGCGGAGGTTGGCGAAGCGGAGGCGAGAGTCACGTTAGGAGAGACCAGCTGAGGTCGCCGGAGAGGACGCTGCGTGGGTTTCCTGGTTTCTTATTTTGTCGGTGACCCCTCACCCAGGATGTTTCCCGTTGGCTTTTAGCGAGAGCGGAAGGGAGAGGGCGAGACAGAGAAACACGGACATGAGACACAATCCTCCCTCCACGTCGAGCTGGCCGCTCTGCAGGCAGCAAGGGGACCGTGTTCTGTAAGGCTGTCCCCTCCAAGTCCTTGGGGGGCGGTTTTAAACTCGAGGAGGAGGGGAGTTTGTAAATTTGCCGAAAGAGGGACGTATTCTCTGCCCAGAGCCACGGCGTCCCCGCCGCCAACCCTCGCGCCACCGACAACGGCTCAGCCACCGACCGTGAGGAGCACAAGATAAATAACGAGCTTTGTGGCCGCACAAAGTGATTACAACCTGACCTGAGGAAGGCAGCCCTCGGGGGCCACACCTTCAGGGGCCACACCCTCAGGGGCCGCCCTTTGAGTGACCACAAAGCCTGCTCACGCGAATTCCTAGACCTGGACGGAGGGGCCCACAGGCAGCGCGGTCCCAGCCGAGTGGGCCCCTGGGAACGTCCTCTCCTCCCACATAAAGGAACCGGCAGGTAGGGCTGCCCCGCCCCGGGCAGGACTGTGATGTTCCCGAAAATGCCACCCAGTGGACTCTCACAGAGGCGCTGGGCTGAGCGGCCGGAGGCTGCGCCCACACGGGCATCACCCAGGGGCCTGGCGGGCAGCCTGGCGGCAGGACCTTCGTGGTGGCACCTGAGGAGCGACTGAGGGACGAGGGGAAAGAGCCCGCGGGGCGTCCTGCAGGTGGCCACTCCCCGGGTGGCCCTTCCATCGCCACGGCTGCACCTGAGAGCGGGGCCCGTGCAGACCAGACGCACGGCCCCCATGCAGCCACGCTGGGCGCCTGCTGCCCCCTCCCCGCGAAAGGCTCAGACCCACGGCGGCGGCACCTGCTCAACACGTCACCACAGGCTCGAACCCTGGACTCACGTTCTCTCTCCCCCGGACCCAGTAAGCCGTTTCCGAGGCTCCCTGTGCCCGGGACGCCCGCCCCCTCCGGTGGGTGCGGAGGTCACGAGGCCTCCCTTGAAGACGTCAGCTCAGGGATTTTTTAAATATTTTTTTTATTGATTTCAGAGAGGAAGGGAGAGGGAGAGAGAAGCATCAATGACGAGAGAGAATCATGCATCGGCTGCCTCCTGCACGCCCCCCACTGGGGATGGAGCCCGCTGACTGGGAACCGAACCCTGACCTCCTGGTTCATAGGTCGACACTCAACCACTGAGCCGCACTGGCCGGGCCTCAAGGAGGTTTTAATGAGCCCGATGCAGACGGGAGGAATTACTTTCTCATTTGACAACGGCTCTTCCGGGACAAGCTGGCTTTGGGGAGCCCGCAGAACCTGGAGGTGAGACACACGATTAACTGTAGGAGAAGGCCGTGTCCTCTGCTAACTCTTCCGGCCTCACATGTCAGCGGCCTGGGCGCAGGGAGGGGCCAGGGCTCCCCAAACACGGGGCAGCGGGTGAGAAACGGACAGGCTGCCGGCCCGCCCCTCGGCCAGGGAGCCTGCTCTCTCCGAGGCTGGGGACACACTCATGGCTTTCATCTGAGATGGTAACTCATGACCGACGAACCGGAGGTGCCAGGCAGGCGCTCGGGAGAGGGGTTTACTCAACAGCCAGGCTCACCACGCGTCTGCGAGCCGCGGCCGGTCACGCTGCTCGAGGGAAATGCAGGCGTCCGCACCGCACACGCCCTGGCGGAGCCTGTGGGGCCGTGGGGCCGGGTGAGAGCCAAGAGGAGGGAGGGGCTGTGAGGCGAACCCGACGGCACAATGCATGGTTCTACTGCATCGGGTTGGCCGGACGACAGGCACGGCCCCTCGACTCGGACCTCTCGGCCCCTTGATCTCCGGTGGAATCTGTGGCTGCAGAGCGAGCCCCTCGGGCACGAAACACTAACAAGGAGCTTAAAGGAACAGCGAGACTGCAGAGGTACATCCACCCGCCCAGCGTGGCTGCTGCACGACAGTCACTCCGCGTAGTAACAGTGCAGAGCCTGGGAGGATAGATGGATGGATGGATGGATGGAGGGGTGGACAGATGGAAGGAGGATGGATGGAAGATGGATGGGTGGATGGATGGGTGGATGGATGGAAAGGAGGGAGCAGAGTGCATGTTGGTTTGGCCCTTCCCGCCGCTACCCTCCCTCCCAGCACCTCTATTCCAGGCAGACACTGATCTGTCCACAAGTGGGAGGACTGGAGGCCTCACTCTGAGCCTGTAATTTAAATGTAACGAGAAACACGGGCCGCGCTGCCCCACCCAATCCCGACGCGCCCCAGACCGACATCGAAGGGCTACGGCCTCTGTCTCCCCGAAACCGAAGAGAGAGACGCCAGCCCCGAGTGTAAAGGAAGACAGGGCATCGTGTTACCACGGTCCACAGGCGGCCTCGGGGCCATCTGGCCCACGCTGACGCGGTCAGTGCCACCAGCAGGTGAGTGATTTGATCAAGGTCACCCGGCGAGAGGCCGGCCCGGGGCCGCCCTCTGAACTCTCCCATGGTAACTCAGTCAGAAGTTCAAGATTTACGTGCGCTGTGGGCACGGATGGCTGCCAACTGCGTTTTTATTGATGCAAAAATAAAAGAAACACAGCCCGTTTCAGCTCCTAGATTAAGTCTCCCCAACTCCCTAAAGCTCCACGGGGCCTGTGTCTAATCCACAATCAGGGCCTTTAAACAGTCGCTGATCGCGACGCCTGACGGCTGATGGCTTTGCGCCTGCCTGGACGGCCGACTCGGAGGCCCCGCCCCACCGTCACCTGTTGTCAGTTTTTCATGAACTAAGAGAAACACTCCAACAAAACACGAGACAGGAGTGAGGTGTGATTATGGAGGGGGGGGGGGGT